AGTCTCGCAATGTGGTGCCAGCAGTCAAACCAACATTTGAAGTCTACTGCGACAATGATGATGAAAATAATATTATCCATCAGCTCGAGAAGCAGTGCCAAGAGGAGAAAGTATCTAAGAAAGCAGTAGAGGAGGTAAGGGCAATTTCTACTGGTGCTCAAAGGTAAGCCCCGCGTTCAAAATGGCGATTTGCTGAGCTCAAATACTAACGAAAGATGAGAAATAACACAAAAAATGAAGGAAAAAGCAGGAAAATCCGCTCGAGGTGCCCCGTAGAACTCCATGCTGAACCGCGCTAGTACGCGCATTAGGCGAAAAGGGGCGTGGTCGGACGAGCTCTCACTTGTTGGTGCCAGCTCTTCCCTTATCATCTCACTCTCAGCATTCAGAATGAGATTAGTAGAATAACCGCACCATGAGGAAATCTAGAAATGAATGTCGGACGTCTTCGTGACCAGTGGGCAGAGCTCTGTTTCCCCGCTAACGGTAGCGTTTTCACATTTTTCTGAGAAGGAAGCAGTACATCCTCCATGTTTGCAGACAGGACTACCCGATCCAGTGAAGGCAGGCATCAAATAAACGCAGAGCGTGTTTTTAAAAGCGATCTTCGAACGGTACTCCTAAATGCCAAACCCCATGTTTTTCAGCCGAAAGTCGCCAAAGTTAGAAAACCTCTGGCGAGTCTTCCGATCACGACATTGGATTTCAACTCGGACGACGATGTTGGTTTTTTTCATGCTTTCTGTCCCTTCATGCCTCTTACAAAGAATATCATCCACAATTTTTAGGAAGTTTTCTCGACGTTCTCCCATGTACCGTCCAACCCCGCTACAATTCGATCTGAATTTTCGAACTTTGGCATGAACGATGATGACGACGCTAAGTCGTCACTGTACGGCAGTGCGCTGGATTACGAACTGGACAGTCGTGATGAGTATGTGACAGCCATTTCTGAGAAAGAACTCCGAGAAGATATCATCTATGCCAATCCGGAATTTTCAGATGACATATACAGGTTGGTGTAGGCTACTCCGCCTAGACTGCCCAATGTTTTACCGTTTACAAACGTTTTATATACAGGTACATGAAGCACAGGGAAGTAAAGGTGCGTCCCAAGGCAAACTATATGTCGAGGCAAGACGATATAAATCCTGAAATGCGTTCCATACTTGTGGATTGGTTGTCAGACGTCGTTCAAGAGTATAAGATGCATCAGGTGACTGAACCTTTAATTGCAAATTATGCTTCCTTTGGCATGGACAGGGTTTACGCTACGTTCATACTTCGCGACATGGCAGATTTCGGCGGAGGATTTGCGTTTTGGGGGAGTGCGCGCTAAG